AGGGAGGGGAAGTCTGCCAGTCATGGGTCCCCCAGGTTAGAATAGGCTCCTCCAGCCCCTCTCCCTAACCATGTCCCTCGCTCCAGTCCAATCCAGGGTATGTTCGTCCCCACGTACGCCCACACCCAGCTCCTCCAGGACAAGGGAGGCAGAGTCCAGCTTCCACAGTGGAAGGCTGGGTCTGGAACATAGCACAACCACCAACTTCTGGACCCATGCTCAAGAAGCCCAGGGGACAGACTGCCAAGGCAGTGGAGGGAAGGGGATGACCAACAGATGGAACCCTCGGTAATCATCTAGAAAGAGAAAGGAGAATTTTTTCTGTTTCTTGCTAGCAAAACAGTATCCAGGACAGAGAACCATACCAGCTATCAGAAAGCCTGGTGTAAAGTCCCATGTCTGCCATTTATAAGTCTCTCAGAATCTTGGTTCCTCACGCTTACAAAGCATCCAGCATAACACAGAAATGAGCTACCATTTGCTGGTCACTTGTTCTCTACTATATGCTCCAAGTCCATTAATTCATTTAATCCCCACAGTAACCCTATGTGGTGCATACTGTTATTGTCCCCATTTTACAGACGAGGAAAATGAGACTCAGAGGAGATAAGTCACATGCCTAAGATCACACAGCCAATAAATCAGCAAGCAGTTTAGCTCCTGCCCACCTCCAAGTCTCAATAGAAAGCCTGACGATCAGGACCAAGGGTACAAATGTGTAGTCCTGACGAGGGCCATGTGGGAACCATGATGGATGATCTAATGTGTCAACTTGGCTGAGCCATGGTGCCCAGACATTTGGTCAAACTTTATTCTATTATCTCTGTGAGGATGTTTTTGAATGAGATTTACATTTAAATCAGTAGACTTTTGGGGCGTGTGGGCGGCTCAGTCAGTAAACCATCTGACTCTTGGTTTTGGCTCAGATCATGATCTCATGGGCCATAATCTCATGAGTCTTGAGATCAAGCCCCATGTCAGGCTCTGCACTCAGTGGGGAGTCTGCTCTAAGATTCTCTCCCTCTGCCCTTCCCCCACTCACGTGCATGCACACACTCTCTCTAAAATAAATAAGTCTTTTAAAAAAAAGTCAGAAATTAATACTGCAGTTTAAAAAAAAAAAAAAAACACCAACCTGTTTCAGAGTACAGCAGCCAAACACCAATTCTCCAACACCAGTACAAGCGGTGCCCCAACAAAGGTATTTCTGTGCATCACTCTGGCAGCTAATCTCATTTCCTTCAGTTTTTCATAGAATTTTACAGTTAGAAAGAACTTAATCTGACACAAGTATATCCCAAAACAACAAACAAAACTGGATCATTTATTGAAATATACTGTACTGAGATCAGATGTGTGTGTGTGTGTGTGTGTGTGTGTGTGTGTTAGGGAGGGGGTGGGAGGAGGGATGTATGTCTATGACCACAGGTAACTGTACCAGTACAGCTGACAGTTCCATCATCTCTTCCTAAGTCCCACCATAACTCCTCTCCCCAAGCTCTCCACCCACCTCAAACCTCCCACCCCTTCCCTTTCCCCCACCTGGAAAAAATGACCTCATCCCCCACCTCACTAAGAAAATCTAGCTCCAATCCATCCTCCTTTGCTTGGGTCCCTCTCCAAGTTCTCCTCTCCCTCAGGCTCACATTTTAAAAAGAACATTCGAGGCCCTTCAAAATATGATGTTAGCACCAACTTTGCAACCTCAACTCCACTATTTACCAACCTGAACCCCATATTCAACAAGATTATTCACCATGCAACCTCTGTACTTCACACTTCCCAGTGCTTGTACCTGTGCTTAGCCCACCTCATCACTCAGATGTCCCCCCCTCCAACTTCCACTTTTCCAATCCCACCCCCCTTGAGAGCCTGGGTCAGATGCCACCTGCTTCAGAAAGCCTCCATCCACCCAATGTAATTGAACTCTCTCTCTCTCTCTCTCTCTCTCTCTCTCTCTCTCTCTCTCTTCCTATAAACCTTGTGGGCTCTTACATGGCCAGCTGCAACAGTGACGTGTACCTCCCAATGACCCCAACTACAAGGGCTGGAATGAGATCTTACCCATCCTTGGTTGCACCCAAAGCTTCCAGTACTGTCCCCTCCTCACTAAATACCAGCTGCTTGGACAACAAAGAGAGAGATAAATAATGGAAAATGAAGGAAATGGCATCAAAACACAGAACTACGGGCTGCTTGTGCCTCTGAGGATTCCTCCAGAAGAGGAATGTGTAAGGGCGGGTTGGTGGTCAGAACCCTCCAGCAGATCCTCCAGCAGGAGGCCAAGAACACTGGGAACCAAGGTGGTCAAGAGCCTCATGGCTTAGGCCCGTGTCTGCCCCATTCAGGGTGCAAAGGTGTCAGCCTGGGCTCCTTCCACACCATGGGCCATGCCCAGGAGAAGAAAGGACTCGAGTCTCAGCCACCTGTCAGGGCTCCCCTATGTTGGAAAGGGCCAAGCCTTCAGCATCCTTCCCTGACGCTCAAGCTCCGGCGCCATCTGCTGGCTAAGGTCAGCACTGCACCTAGACCTCCAGTCCCAAGGGCAGTTAAGCGACCAGGTGTTGACAATTCCCAACCCACTCCAGACCCAGGTCATTTTGGAGTCACCAGAAATGACCCCACCTTTCTAGAGTTCGGGCTTCTAACTGCTTCCCAGAACCTGTCCTTCTAACTTATAAAATTAAAGGGAAAAGGGCAAGTTTCTTTCTGGTAACACTAGCTGAGAAACTTCCAAGACACACATAAGACACAGAAAGCAGATTTCCAAAAGATTTCTGCCAAACAGAAGCTCTGCTGCATGGGAAACAAAGCACTGGCCTGATAATCAGAAGATCTGAGGCTCTGAGGCCTCGTGCTGTGGCTCACACCCCTGTCTTAGCTTTGTGGCCCCTCCCCAACCCCTAGCCACACACATCCCTGTGTCAGGACAGTGCCCCTTTACTCACTCTCCACTCCACACTGATGGCACAGGCTGCTGTGCAGGGATTCACACTGATTCAGAACCACATGTAAATCATAAGGTTTACAAGAGATGCAAGCTCACTCTCATCTCCCACATCCTGCTGGGGACATCCCTCAGGGCCAGCCCCCTCTGCCTGGGGCAGGGACTGGTGTGAGGACACCAGTGACCCCTGTCAGGCTTCTGCTGATGGGAAGGATCTGCAAGAGGCACAGATGCAATCAACGAGGGCAGCCAGAACACACCAGCCTCAAGCTCTCTCTGGCCTCCCTCTCTGCTCTTCAGTCTGAGATTTAGGTGCAGCAATGAGGTCTTTGAGCTCCAAGTGTCTTCAGAGCCCATCCAAGAACTTGAACCTAGACAGCAGATGGTGACACATGACAGTGTTGGAAAACCAGGGATGGAAACCTGAAACCAGGGACAAAACAGAGCTTTCCACTGAGTGTCCCAGGGCAGGCACAGAGCCCACAGTCCGTGGGATCCACTCAAACATCTCCCTGGCAGGGAGAGCTGCTCCCCACGAAGTGTCACAGGAGAGGCGGGAGGAGGAGGGAAGTGCAAAGTGAGTGACTTTCCCCGCCCTCACACCCCCACATCCACCTACCCTGCTTCCCACACAGCCCCTCGCCCCTCCCTCCACCCACAGACTGAGAAAGTGTGTCACCAGGGAACAAATGCCATCTCCCAGGAGGAAGGAGGAGGAAGGGGGAGAAGAGAGACTTCAGTTGTGTGCCTGCGGGGGCCGGGGTAAGGAAGCAGAGGTTGCTGAGCTTCCCAGCTGTGAAGGACACCCCCTCAGAACCGTGACCTTGACATCAGCCTCCCTCTCTCAGAGGGCTTGAGACCTGTGGGGCAGGAGCCACAGCCCCCACACTCAGGATCACATGGCCAGGAGGACCTAAGAAGAGGCCCTGAAGATGCAGATGAAATCTATTAACCCCAAAGAGCCTTTGCCAGCTGAGTGGGCCCACCATGAAGCTGATATCCCAGACTTTGCATCTCACTGCACCCTGGCTTAGAGGGGGCCACTGACCTGCCCTTGCCACCCCCTCCAGCCCTCCACAGACAAGTCGGCCTCCAAGGGTTAATGTGCTGCCTTCCTTTCCTTTTATCCGCCCCCACTGAGCTGCCACATGCCAGCAATGATGCACTTCACACTGTTATTACTGTGATTTATTTAGTTTTAATTTGGGGGTGAATCTCGTGCTATAGGAAGCAGGAGGCCAACAGTTTGGCAAGAAGCAAAGCCACGCAGGGGCCTGTGCCATGCCAATCCCGTCCCCTCTGCCTGGGGTCCCTCTGTCCTCAGCCTGCTCCTCCTGGCCTGTGGCCTTGCTCCTGACTCAAACCCTAAATTGGGTTTGCCCTTCATTTAATCTCCTCCACATAGCTTTTATTCCCTCATCTGCAAAATGTGATAAATAACAGTACCTACCTCCTATTTTTGCAGAGAGGATGAGGTGAGATAATGCACGGAACACAGTACAGCTGTTCTCACACAGTAGACTCTCAATAATTAACAGATATTATTAGGTTGATCCCTATGAATCACATTACATTGCAGAACCCAAACAACCAAATATCAACAACTTCATATGGTTCAATCTTTTTTTCTTTCTTTCTTTCTTTCTTTCTTTCTTTCTTTCTTTCTTTCTTTCTTTCTTTCTTTTTTTTTTTTTTTTTTTTTATTCATGATAGACAGAGAGAGAGGCAGAGACACAGGCAGAGGGAGAAGCAGGCTCCATGCACCGGGAGCCCGATGTGGGATTCGATTCCGGGTCTCCAGGATCACACCCTGGGCCAAAGGCAGGCACTAAACCGCTGAGCCACCCAGGGATCCCCCTCAACTAATCTTTTGTACTCAGGGCCACAGAGGTTCCTTCTAACCCCTACGATTTCCCTACTGAAAGTTGCAGTGAAGTCCCCTTTCCGCTCCAGTGCCAGAGCCCCAGCACCCCGCAGCCAGAGCACTGCTGGTGCCTTTGAGAAGCACAGCATCCCAGGACCCAGCCCAGCCCAGCCCAGCCCCGGCGGCTACCTCTTTGCCCAGGTCCTCACGGATGACCTGGCGGACCTCTTGAATGCTGCTCTGCGGGGCCTGGCTGTGCAGCACCTTCAGCGTGCTGGTGTACTCCTCGGGCAGCAGGTAGTCCAGAGCCCCCAGGTGCTGGCCCACCTTGATGAAAGTGCCCCGGTTGGCACAGCAGAGCTCACAAAGACGCCTGGCAGAACGGAGGTGCACCTGCAGGGAGACAGGCCAGGGCCAGAGAGGGATGAGTGCCCACTGCCCACTGGAAATCACCCCCTTTGCTTGCCCCCTCTGCCTGAAAACCCTGATTCGCTCCTCAGAGTACACACACACACACACACACACACACACACACACACAGCTTCATTCACTGACTGCCTCCATGCTCTCCTTTGGTCTTGGTACCTAGAGCAGTCAATTCCAGCCTCATCTTGAGGCCAGCCCCCTCATATGGCTGATGCTCCGATGCTTCTGATCCTCTTTCCATCAAGATTCATCTGGCCCAGGAACCAGAGCTTTCATTCAAGGCTTTTAACAATTCTAATCTACTAATGATTCATTTGAGGGTACACTGAGTTAATGTATGTGTCACCCAAGCCTCAGACATATTAATAACACTATCTGCTTAGAGATCTACGGTTTCTAAAACATGCTCATATGCACTATTTCTTTTAATCCTTATAGCAGTTCAGGGAGTCAGGTACTGGTATCTTTAAAAATAAGAAACTCAGATGTGGTGCTTATGAATAAATAGCTAATAAAGGTCAAAGGAAGGTCTAGAAAATGCTCCAAACCTAGAGTGCTTTTAACTCAGCAAACAGAGCAGGAGACTCCTCTTAACTGGAAGAAAAGTTTTACTGGGAAACATCAGGTGCATAGAGCAGGCAGCTGGGAAGGTTACCTATGACAGGGCAGCCTTAACTTGCAGCCTGATGCCCACTGTCCTTCCAGAGCTGGGAGGTAGTACCCCCTGTCCCCCAGGCTGTATATCCCCCAGTTATCACTCCAGCCCAGCTGAGGACCCTTGGACCTGCAAGGGTCCTGCCTTCCTGAAGCTACAGCTTCTAAGGCAGGATAGAGCCATGGGCACACACAGAAGGTAAGGGAGCCCAGTGCCCTGTGGGAACCTCTTGTACCCCTGAAATCAACCAACAGGGATAAACATCCATGATAGATTTACACTCTCTTGGGTGTTATGGAAGATGCCAACATAATTAAGCACATACTGGAGGCAATGAACCACCTGAGGAGTTTAATAACTTTTGGCAACAAGGATGGAAGAAACAGTTAAAGATCCTATACAATTAGTTGCCAAGTGGACCATACAGAAAACTGCTACTTTTTAAAATATATATATATATATATATATATATATATATTATTTATTCATGAGAGACACAGAAAGAGAGAGAGAGGCAGAGACACAGGCAGAGGGAGAAGCAGGCTCCATCCATGCAGGGAGCCCGATGTGGGACTCGATCCCCGGTCTCCAGAATCAGGCCCTGGGCTGAAGGCAGCACTAAACCGCTGACCACCCAGGCTGCCCAGAAAACTGCTACTTTAGAAATTAAGAAGATAACACTACAGCCCTCAACACCCTTGTCCCAGCAGCCAGGATCCCAACTGCCCTGTCCCACCACAGCAGAGCAGATGCCCCAGACTCCAAAGTCAGGACACTGGGAGTTGTCCTGAGGTCCTTGTGGGCATCCACTACTGGCTCTGCTGGACACCTCGCTGCCCCCACCCCCATTTAGGAGCCCTAAATACACATGACTCCATCCGCTGGGCAGAGTCCTCCAGCCTTGATGTGGATATCTGGTCCCAGCTGGGCCACAGAGAGTCTTTTTTCCCTGACGGAAGGGTGTAGGGAGAAGGAAATTAATCCTAAGAATGAAGAGAGAAAGATGCTCTTAGATGGGATGAAAGATTGTGGGAAAAGGTGGTGAATTCACTTTAAGAATTTGGAACTGGGGACTCAGCTGACCAGTGGCAGGTGTCAGAAAACCAGTGCCATGGCCGGCTAAGGCCATGCCCAAGCCCTGGTTCTGAGGAAGTGAGAAAGAAGGCAAACATGGTCAAACATGAAACCAGGCATTTTCTCACAGAGCAAAGGTCCAGGCTGGTGTGAACAAATTACTTTTTGTAGCTCAAATAATCATTCCCCAAATTCCAGCCCAGAAGAGGAGAGATCATAGTCACTGGCAGAATAAGAAGGAGTGGACAGGCATCTACAACCCACTATTCCCTAAGGTACACTATGACTGGAGCCCACATCCAGCTGGACACTCACAGCTGGCTGCCCTGCCACTCAGCTGCCCTCTCCCCCAAGGAGACACGCTCAACCCCCCACATCAAAGCTTCTCTGGAGTCAAGGCCACATGGAAGCAGAGGGCTGGGAGGTGAGATGAAGACACACCCCGCTTTCCCCACCCTGCCCAGTAAAGACCTGAGCCACTGTGTATTCACTGGGCCCTGCAGCAGGCCGGCTGCATGCCCTCCACCACATGGGAAGACGCGACTGAGCCGCTTGCACACACCGAGGGACTTGCAACAACAGGATCACACTGAGAACCGCAGGAGCTCAGATGCAAGACCCAAGAGAGCTGGAATTAGAGGAAAGACTCACTCACAGGATGCAAGTGGGTGTATGCTGCTCAGAACTATGGCCTCCAGGCTCCAAATCCGCCCTTCTCCGCCCCACACTGTGATCCTAGGGCTGCACCCTGTCGTTTCTCCATTGTCAGGTGGCTTCTTATTAAGCTTTGTCTACAGGTGTCTCTGGAGGGACACTGAGGCTACCAGAGGGAAAGGAGGCTCCCTTCGAGTGTCAGTGTTGGCATTTTAGCTCAGCAGCCAGAAGGCCAGTGGTTTAGGGGTGGCCCCCCCAGAACAGCCCATCCCCAGTAAATTTCCCCATTACTCGGCAGGCCCCTGTGATGGACTCACTGAGGCCCACACCCTCCAGCAAGTGTGCTGACCAGGCAGCAGGCTGCTCCTATATGTTAGCTCCAGTCCACACCCTCCTACAAATTTTACTCCCACTCAGTCCACTCTCCCCTCGACCGTGCCTTCCATTGGGTCTCCTCAGCACTGGGCAGACCTCCACCTCAACCTTGCAGGTGGGAGGCCCTCAGCTGAGTTCTGTCCTTGTTCACGACCCCTCAGCCCGAGAGAGAGCAGCTGCTTTGTGTGCTTACTACTTTTTACCAGTTAATAATCTTTTCTGTTAAGTCTTCCCCACTTGAACCCTCTTGCACTGTTGGTGGGAATGCAAACCAGTGCAGCCACTCTGGAAAACAGCATGGAGGTTCCTCAAAAAGTTAAAAATAGAACTACTCTCTGATCCAGCAATGGCACTAGTAGGTATTCACCCAAAGAATACAAAAATACCAATTCAAAAGGATACATGCACCCCGATGTTTATAGCAGCAGTATCTACACTAGCCCACTAGCCAAATTATGGAAACAGCCCAAGTGTCCACTAACTGATGAATTAATAAAGAAGATGTGAGATATATATATATATGTGTGTGTGTGTATGTATACATATGTATGTGTGAATATTACTCAGCCATAAAAGAGAATGAAATCTTACCATTTGCAACAATACCAATGGAGCTAGAGAGTATTACGCTAAGTAAAATAAGCCAGTCAGAGAAAGACAAATACCATATGATCTCACTCATATGTGGAATTTAAGAAACAAAACAAATGAGCAAAGGGAAAAAAGAGAGAGAGAGAGAGAGAGAGAGAGGCAAACCAAGAAACAGACCCATACCTATAGGGCACTGATGGTCACCAGAGGGGAGGAGGGTGGAGGGATGGGGGAAACAGGTGATGGGGCTTAAGGAGGGCCCCTGCTGTGATGAACACCAGGTGTTGTACGGAAGTACTGAATCACTGCATTGTACACCTAACTCTACTATTATGCTGTATGTTAACTAACTGGAATTTAAATAAAAACTTTAATAAATAGAAAATAAAAGAATGGATTCCATTCTAAACTTATTTTTTAAAGGATTTTATTTATTCATGAGAGACAGAGAGAGAGAGAGAGAGAGAGAGAGAGAGAGGCAGAGACACAGACAGAGGAAGAAGCAGACTCCATGCAGGGAGCCTGACGTGGCACTCGATCCCGGGTCTCCAGGATCATGCCCTGGGCTGAAGGCAGCATTAAACCACTGAGCCACCCGGGCTGCCCTAAACTTTTTAATACAGTGTATGCTCTGCAGTTTACTTACATAGTAATCAATGTGAAATAAAGATCTCAGAAATTTAAAAAAAATAAAAAAGTTTTCCCCCGTCAGATATTGGTATGATTGGTCCCTTATGGATACATAGGATTGGTCCCTGAAATCAAATCTGAATAAACTAGGGTAAAAAGAAGGGCATTTCAGGGATGTCAGGTTCAGTGGTTGAGCATCTGCCTTTGACTCAGGGTGTGATCCCAGAGTCCTGGGATCGAGTCCCACATTAGGCTCCCCACAGGGAGCCTGCTTCTCCCTCTGCCTCAATGTATCTTAAAAAACAAACAAACAAACAAACAAAAAACCATTTCAGATCAAGAGGACAATACAGCAACATGTATCTGTGTGCTGAAGACCTACTCCACTGTTTTCTTTAGACTGGATTCACACCTTCATTTGTCTCTGCCACTGGCGGCCCTCAGAAAGCACCAGCCTCGATGATGTCAGTTGAAAGATTAAAAAAAAAAAAAAAAAGGAAAGCACCAGCCTACTGCCCATCACCTGCAGCTGGAGCCTTGGTAGGGTATCTCTTGGCACAAAGTGATGGTCACCTTCAAGACACTGTGTGGACAATACAGGGAGCCCTTTCTGGTCACACAAGCCCAGGAAAGCTGGTTGACTTCCAACTTACCAATCATTTGGCACATCAGCCATAGGGGCAGAGACCATGTGCATCCCCTGTACGCTCTGTGTACCTCAGGGAAAGCTGTGCAGGAGCCATAAATGTAGATTGATGACAACTATGAGTTATACACTCACAAAACCGTCACCCATGAAGCTGAGTCAGCATCTACTGCAAATGGCACCCACATTTCAACTAAAGAGGCCCCAAAGTCACCTTCAACTAGCTTCTAAATAAACACACACACATACACACAAGTGGTGAGGGATACTGTCATTCATCAAAACTTTTTAATGTTCTTTTAAGGCCAAAAAACACAAATGCAGAAGAACAGAGTAGGGTTT